ACAGCTTATACTAACAGTCCATGATATAGCTGGCGCACTAAACAGTAAACGGCAGGTAGATTTAGCAATACTTGATTTCACTAAAGCCTTTGATAAAGTCACCCATGGCAGGCTCATCTCAAAACTGGAGTATTATGGAATCCAAGGCCCTACGCTGAATTGGTTAAAGGCCTTCCTGACCAACAGAGAGCAAACAGTAGTGGTTGAAGGGAAGGCGTCGGCTCCAGTTAAAGTAGCGTCTGGGGTCCCTCAAGGAACCGTCCTGGGGCCATTGCTCTTTCTCTTGTATATAAATGACCTACCAGATCAGCTTGACTCAAATGTGAGGTTATTTGTCCGATGACTGTCTATTGTATGTAGAGCTTTCTACACAGACCGACTCACAACTTCTCCAAAAGACCTGAACACCCTGGAAGAATGGCAAAGCAAATGGCTCATGCAGTTTAATCCCGAAAAATGCTACATTATGCACATAACAAACAAACTAACACCGCATGCAACTAGCTACCAGTTTTGTGGTCAGGCTTTAGCAACCACAAAAATCCATCCGTATCTGGGCGTCACGCTGACAAGCGGACTGAAGTGGGGTGCACATGTTAATAATATAACAACTAAGGCGAAACAGACATTGGGAGTGATTAAACGTAATCTGTGGGCATGTCCAACTAGAGTAAAATCACTTGCATACACGTCACTTGTAAGACCGAACCTAGAATACGCTGCGACAGTATGGGATCCATATACAAAGAAAGACAAAGACAAATTGGAAAGGGTACAGAATCAAGCTGCAAGATTCTGTATGAACAACTAGGTAAGAGGTGCTAGTGTCACGGAAATGAAAAGAAACCTACAGTGGACCTCCCTGGAAGACAGAAGAAAGATGTCTAGACTATGCATGATGTACAAAATGACTAATAAACTGGTGGATGTCCCAACTACTAAGTACCTAATACCAGCCCAGAAGAGAACAAGAAATAGCCACGCATTCAAGTACCAGAGTTATCAACCAAGGATCGAGGTGTTCAAGAATTCATTCTTTCCTAGAACTATCGCAGAGTGGAACTCACTGTCACCAAGTACAGTAGGGGCATTGTCAATGGATAGCTTTAAACAATGTCTAGAGCTAGAAGTTCAAGGGTTAGGTGTAACAAGTCGATCGGTGTAATATAACCAGCTGCCGCCGCGCCGCGTGCCTGCGAAGCTGGTGTGTTACGCCGAAAGGCGGTTATACCGGCTATACAGATACAGATACAGATACAGATCTATTTAAAAATGATCTGTTATGTATTATTACTACTATTTGTTTCATTACTACCATGATTATATAATTTTTCAAATGTTGGTGGAAGATCCCGGACAAGCCATGAAGCTTCTTTATCTTCCCCCGCATATCCTCGTTAGTTATGCTCATGCTACTCCCTTTTGTTATGTTTACACTAATTTTACTACATGCTCATTTTACAACATGCTCATTTTACTACTCTTTATATGCAAAATAAACTAAACAAACTCTTACGCCAAAAATCATCTGCTTTTCCGACAACTCTCCAGTGTCACTGACGAAAGGTAGTGCATGCTACCTGAAACGTCTGACCGTTGCTTGAGTAAATGTTTTTGGCGTATCTTATTACCTGTATGTCTAACCTTCACCGACACTGAAACAGACTCTTACCCCGAGCTGCCTTGCATGGTGGCCTGGAAAGGCGACACCCCTTGGTCGGGAAAAGGCAGGTACTGGTCGTAGCCATACGCGAAGTGAGGGGCGAGGACGTAGGGAGAGAACGGGAGGGGACCCTTGGTGGACTTCACTTGTAGCTCCTGGGACCCCTGCAGATGGAGGAGAACCAGTTGGCAGTTAGTAGAACATCCATCAATCAGTGACTGTTTGTAACTTAAAGGTAGACACACGTACCTCCAAATTTTCGATGTCTACTGTACACATCTTGATCACGGAGTGACCTAGTCTCGCGAGAACACAAGACTAGGTCGAGACCTTTGCAGGTCTCGTGTTCTCGCAAGACTAGGTCACTCCGTGATCAAGATGTACAGTAGACGTCGAAAATTTAATGGGGGTACGTGTGTCTACCTTTCAAAACAGTCACTGATTATATATAATTACTAGTCACCGATTTCTACGATTTATTTAGCCTGCAAAAGTCTGGTGGAGACTTTATCTGTATCTGTATCTGTATAACCGGTATAACCGCCCTTCGGCGTAACACACCAGCTTCGCAGGCACGCGGCGCGGTGGCAGCTAGCTATATCATACCGAACGACTTGTTACACTCAATCTTTGCACATTTAATTGCAGGAGTTGTTTAAGCTTTCTAGTGATGATGCCGCTACTGTGCTTGGTGGCAACGAGTTCCAGTCTACGATAGTTCTGGGGAAATACGGGTTTTTGAACACCTCAATTCTTGGTTGATAACTCTGATATTTGAAGGCATGACTGTTTCTCGTTCTTTTCTGGGCTGGTATCAGAGACTTAGTGGTTGGTACGTCCACCAGTTATACTTACATCTTTGGGGTTGCCGGTGCCATGGCCCACCATGTCAAACTCAACGCCATTGATGGAGCCAAAAATGTGAAGCTCGTGGGACTGCAATCAAAATATTGCATTATGTAACATTATTGCACAAAAAAATGAAAAGTTGTATGTAAAAAATATTCGTGTGATTGTATTTTACTTTCATTATAATCATCATATTTGAGAAATTATCTCACTTTTCTGAAATGTTATGGCTGTTGCTAGAACAACTCACACGAGGAGCACTGAGTGGTGCCACCAAAAACATCAGAATGTAAACATGTTTGTTTACATCAGAAAGTAAACAAACATGGCAGCTGTGTTTCAAGCTTGTAAATACTAGTGCACTCGAAAAGCGTCATATTTTGACATCTCTACTTCCTGACTGGCACTCACATGCAAAAGCGAAGGGTTTTTTCAACTTACATGGCAAAGAAATGACTAGAAAATCGATCAACTTTGATATCGTCCTAATGTTACAAAAACTGACGACATTTGACTCTAGCGAACATAATAATAATTATTTTTTTATTAAAACATATATAAAGAAATACAGACACGATGACAGTGTACTCAAGTTAGGATAACTTATATTAGCGCCGTCATCAAACAATTAACTTAATACAAAAGTATAATTATTTACACACATCGTCACAAAGATGAAAAAGTAGATTTGAAAAATTGTGTACCTGAAATTTGGGGATAATTTTTCTCCACTATACAAATGTCAAACAAAGGCTGTTTCTAATCTTCATTAGCTAAAATTAGCACAATGAAAATGTTAGTTATAATAATTAGTGCAGAAAATTTACCATGATTGTTTCGATGTGTTGGATGTCGTCTCAGAAAACCACCGATGAAGGAAACGTCTGGAGTTCTGTGAAGAAAGACAGAAGTGTCATTAATGTCACACGTTCAACCAGCACAAACAAAATCAGACTACCAAAACCAAAATCAACCTCTCAGAAAAAGCGCTTTATGTACAGGATGTCACACACGTGGAATAACATAGGCAACTAGCAAAGTACTGGATTGTAAATAGTGAATTTGTGTAAAGTTTGCCATGTACTGTTAATTTTGTAATGTTTTTGTACGTTTGTAATATATGTATTTAAATATGAATGTGTAGACCACAGGAAGAATAGCCTCTTATGAGGCTAATTGTGGATCTGAATAAAACTGAAAACTGAAACTGAATTAATAATTTACCTATTCATTTGCCCTCTTTTGACTTCATACGGGTCGAAATACGGAAAAAAGATAGAATAATCTCCAAGCAGATGTTTTGGTGGCTGCAATATCAAAGTGTTCAAATGGTAACTCTTGAGGCCAATTAGGCCGTCCCCTGCCCCGAATGAATCTACTTGGAGACTAAAAAAAGTCCATGAAAATATGTTTTCGGTTATGAAACTTTTGTACAAGGACAGTCAACAAAATACATCTTCGATACAAAATCATTTAGATAGATATACAAAGTATTGCATGTTGCTGAAACAGGAGCTCGTATTCTGTTTCGTAGTAAACCAAACTTGTCCCTCTGGTCCACCGTACCTACTATCAAGCGGAGGTTGATGTGTTTTTTTTTACCTCCGGGGAAGGAGATATCCTTCCGCGAGGAGGTTTTACTATTGTTCGAAACATTTCTGTCAGCAGCTGTTTCTCGCGATCGGCTGGACGGATTGGTCTGTTGTTCGGTATACGTATTGCTATTGGGCTGCAGATGATGCAGAACGTTTTTGTTTAATTGCATATGTGCTTATGGGCGTCGAAATAAAAGGTTTTTAAGTGCTCCGGACACCCCTGCCATGCTGAAAATGGAATTTACCATGTTGTTAAGGAATGGGGCGGTTGCAGTTTTGGGTCTTAGCATTCAAAAGGGGTCAAACAGAGGGGTGTCTGGTTCCAATAAAAAATTTGGGTGACGGCGGGGGTAATGGCGCGGGTGACGGTGTAGGCTGTCAGACACGTTAATCAACAGTCCATACCAAACCAACCGTCAGTAGCCATCAAACACATACAAACATATTACGCACATAACTTTCATACTACACACAAACAAATAACCTAAACCAATACAATACAAAAAAACCCGGAGGTTTGAATCTACGATTTTCCTTGTTTTTGTTTGTTTTTGTTTGAATACTTGTATCATATAATTATACTGCTGCTTCCTGTCATAAAGGTACAAAAATGTCTCTTTTCAAAGTAAAAATGTTGGGGTTGTCATAATCTGCAACAACCTTTTTTTTATTAATCTTACCAAAAAAATGGGTTGTCCATTATGTCGTTGAGGCTAATTTCCAAGGTAGCCCATGGAAACATGATACAAGAAAAGAATGTGGCATAAAATAGTAATAATAAAATTTGAAATATAGAACCTGGCAGGAAAGTAAGGCTTACGTTTCTCAAATTGTCGTCTTGCAAAAACTTTTTCTAACCTAAGGAATTATGGTCAACAAGAACAAAGGCTCACTTTTCTTGATCCAAAAAAGGCAAAGCACTTTAAGCTTATATTGTCTCCATCCGGAAAAGCCGCGCAACTCTATTCATTCACAAAGATTGCAACACATTTTATCCAAGAAAGGAACGCACTTATCTTGATCCAAAAACGTACCGCAAGTTTCTTCTTTCGTCCAAAAAAGCACAGAAGACGACTCGACATACTGAAAAGCAATGCACTTTTCTTTCTCCGTTCAAGAAAGCAATGCACTTCTGTTTTTTAATGCAAAAAGGACTGCACTTTTATCTCTTCGAATTCATTCAAGATGAACCATCCATGGCCAGACAATCGACTCCAGCATGTTTATAAGACTAATCTTGGGTTTTTTTGTCACACGGCATTACGGATCAGCTAGCTACCGAAGGAAGCTGACACACCCTGCAAGAACAACAGCAACCTGTGCCATTCTACACGAGTTCCTACCCAGAAATGACCAACAGGCACCTTTCTGACTGACCGGAAAGGTATGTGTCTGCCAGTTGTTTCGAGGTACAATCAGTTGTGTAGATAGTTTGTTATACCTTAATGGTCAACTTAAAGCAACAGTCAGTTTTTATACA